ACAGGGAGTGAGGAGGCAGTGAGATGTGGGGGTTTGTCAGGAGAGGTGAGGCTGGAGATGTGGACAAGGTCCAGATTGCGATGGGTCTGAAGTGCCACTGGGAGCAGCCTACCCTTTGTCTTGGAGGTGCCCTGGGGCCCCGCTGGCAGGTTTAGGCTGGGGAAGCACACCGCATGTAGGTTTGCATTTTAGACAGCCTGGTGCCTCGGAGAGGGTAGGTTGTTGAGAGTGAGACCAGGTCAGCGAACCAGGCAGGCAACGCCTGGACTCTTCCCATGACCCATCCCTGGCTCCCTGGCTCCCCGGCTCCCCATCTCCAGTCCCCACTGGGGCCATTTCACGGCTTTTGAGCCACTGAATCCATTGACACAAGGTGCCAAACAAGAACTGGGGCGCTAGGTCTCCGGGTGTGACTGAGAGCCCTGGAGGATGAAAAAGGAGAAGGAAACACCAGGAAGATGGAGCATAGGTGCCCAACGTGGGTTTGCCCTTCCCTCCCCAGCAGCCCAGGAGTGGCCAGTTTGAATTCCCTCAGGTCATCAACTTCCTGGGTGAAGGCAAGTCAGAACGGCTTGGCTTGGGAGAGTTACGTCACCTCCCCTGCTAAACAGGCTTGAGGTTCCCCACAGCTTTACATTCCATTCCACTCCTCCCGGTGCTGAGATGGGAAGGCAGTGCAGGCTTAGAAAGGCACTGGGCTCTAAAATTAACAACAAAGTTTAGCATCCTCTAATCTTATGATGTGCCAGGCACTGGGCCGAGGGCTACATTTGATCATTTAATCTACACGCCATGCCTACATGTTGAATATTCATGAAGTGTGATGAGCGTCACGTTGCAGATGAATAAGCAGACGCGCAGAGCTTAACCTACCGGCCTTCAGTCTGACAGCCCGAGGGGCCGAGGTAGTCCGCCTGAAGCGGGCTGACCCCCAGCTTCCCAGCCGCCACGATGCACTGAGCGCTGGAGGGGAGCTGGGCACACATCACGCATTTTCCCTTTCTTTTTTTCGGTGGGGGGCTGCGTAATTAGATATTAATTTATTTATTTGATGGAGGTACAGGGGATTGAACCCAGGACCTCGTGCGTGCTAAGCACACACGCTACCACTGAGCTACATACCCGCCCCCTGTTTTTTCTTTCTCTGTGAGCTTCCTGTTGTGGCATCTCTGTCCTGAAATGAAAACGGGGTCAGAATACAGTCTGAACACAAGGGGATGAATGCGGGCAGAGAGTCAGGATGGACAGTTTTGCAACACGCTCACCTGTGAGGCCACCATCTGTGAGCTAGGAGCCAGGGGGCTCAGGCAGTGCCCACCTCC